TTTCCTCTGAAATAGTCAACCTAGGTTGTTTTTTTGTTGGTTTTTTTTGTGGTTTTTTTTTTTTTTTTAATAAATAACAAAATCCTCGGTCCAAGAAAAACAGCTGTCCTGAAATGTTTTGGTCTGGATACTTGAATTCTAGCAAAGCTGTAACAAACTGTAATGTCTTAGAGCCAGAAGCTTCAAACAACATAATAGTAGCACTAAGTATACAGAAGTTTTGAAATAAGGTAAATAGTTCACAGCATATTAAAAGTAGAAGTGAAAATGCATACTTTAATGAATATTGGTTGTTACATTGCCATTTTTTCCTTCACTAGTATTTCCAGTCACAGGTGAGTGTTTACAAGAGAAAATATCAAACTGCTGTTGTGCAAACTATGGACGCTCTGTGGCTTTAGACGTTTCACGCTACAACAGAGAGAATTCCTTTCCCAAAGCATCTGCGCACAAAAATGTGGCCAGTCTATTTAAGATGTATTGAGATGTATTTGATTATCATAGAAATAACATACTGTATTTGTATGTGTAATGGCTGCTTATGCAGCTTATGCTGCCTTCACTTAAAGGGAGTAACTGATTGAACTAATTGAGAATACACAAAATGTCTTTTCTTACTCTGTTTCCCTCCTGTGTTTTGGGCAAAATCAAGAAAGAGAGGTGAACAGGTGACCTTATGTACTACTAAACATTGTTACCAATTTTTTTTGCCCAGTAATGGTGGCAGAATTGTGTCTGTGACTTTAAGGTGTTTTTGAAAGATTGTTTCAATTTGATAATCCTGTAATACAAGGTTACTAGATTATAATCAAAGAAGTCAACAGAGCATACCTTACGCCTTAGGTTTCCATATGTGTGACACTAAAAACTAGATCATAGGAACTGGACCTGTGGTGCCTATTTAAAAAAAATTTCCTCTCTTAAGTTGTCGTTTTTTAGATATGGGAAGAATCCTACAACGTGATCGTAGACAATACTTGATCCATGTCCTATTTTCAAATCTCAGCACAAAACAGATTTGTGATGATACTCACTGAGTGAGCCTACTACACTAGTATATGATGTTTGACCAGTAATCTATGGAGAATTACATAAGTTTAGACCCAAATTTTGTAGTCTTCGAGTGCAAGCTCTTACATCTGTACATCATTATTTTGTAGTAGTACACAGTTCTCAGACTTGACATAACCAGAACAGTTTCAAGATCTTTATTTAAATGGTAGTGTGCATTTTTATAAAGTTCATAATTATATGTAATCAAAAGAACTATCTAAATGCTTTCTGTAGTAACAAAATAAGGAAAACTGTGTACTTATGTGTTAGGGAGTGGTTGATGTGTCTCCATCTCAGTGCCCTGTTGAAGATGTTTACTATAAAATATTTTAATAATACAAAAATACTAAAAATATGAAATACCTGAAATGCTTTTGGATCTAGAAATTATAACAACTCTAGCCTGCAGATTGAGATATTTACAGGATAAATGCATTACTTTCAGCTGCTGCTCTAATTGTCTATTTAAATAATATATAAAAACTTAGTAAGATGAGGTTCAGCACAGGACACCGGAAGAGATTCCTTAAGGACCCAGCAGGTTGATCTGCACTTGAAAACAAGCGCGATCTTTTCTGCTCCTCCACCGCACTGGCCCGTGCAGTCCTGCCTTCTCCTTTGCGCAAGCTTAAAAAAAACCAAAACAAACAAGAACTTTTCTGAAGGGTAAACCCTTGTGCTGGGTTAAGCACCTGGACCCAGTCCCTGTGTTGTCAATGGGGTGTCAGGGCTGGCTCAGTGAAATTATCCGATGATTATTACAGAAAACGGATCAGGGCAGAGGGACCTTCCTGACTGGCTGCAGCTGTTCATTTTTCATGTTTCACATCAAAGTCACAACAGTGTAGGAGGCATCTTTATATGTTTATTAAGCGACAGATTTACAAATACTGTAACACAGATATGTAGTGTTTTGAAAACCCACACTTCAGTGTTTTCATGGCAATTGAGCAAATAGCTTTGTATCAAATACAAGACTAATTTCACCTCTGTGTTACTTTACCAGGCTGAAAGTGAACTGCAGAGAGCGACACTGGATGCTACTCGAACAACGCGGCAATTAGAGGAAACTATTGATAATTTTGAGAAACAGAAGATAAAGGATATCAAAGTATGTGTGCTCACATTTCAGTATGTGATATCAATTTTATCTTGCATAATAAAATTACTATAGTTAAGTCTTGGGAAAGATTAGCAACATTTAATATTCACTTAAATGCAAATCTTGTGGTATTCATGAATATTTCAGAATCACAGAATCGTTAGGGTTGGAAGGGATCTCTGGAGATCATGAAGTCCAACTCCCCTGCCAAGACAGGGTCACCTAGAGCAGGTTACACAGGAACGTACATAATCCAAATATGAGGAAATCTGAAATTAAAAAAATCAGTTCATTATTCTTCCAGTTTTTGGAATTGAAAATTTTCCTGTCTCCAGTTGTTTAGTGTCTGCACCTTCACGAGTTGCAGTCTTCTACTTCACTAGTAGCTGCATTTGTTAGTGGAATGATATATGTGGATTAATATCAGCAGAATTAACAGAAATAGTGATAAGTAAATAATATATTTATCCATGATGAAGTATGTGTATGTTACTGCAGTTAAAAGTTTTACTGATGCAAAAAGCACAAAATGTTCAGTGACTGCAAGCAATGAAAGCTTTCATTTCTCTCTTAATGTCAAACATTAAGTGGAACAAGTCCCAAAGACTACAGTGACTGAAAAACACTTGCATTATGTGATCTCATTTAATTATAAAATTGCTTTAGTCATTTTTTTTGTGTGTGGGGGGGAGGAGACACACAGACAGTCTAAACAGGAAAGAATGAAAGATGGTTGAAAAACCCAACGAAACCAACCAGTACTTGATATTGGAGTAATATGAAAAGGATTGTGATTTCTGAAGTTGTCATAATTGGGGGGGGGTGTCAATATATAAAGAATACTTTATTATGTAAAATATATAATTATTTGTAAATTATAGGTATGTATAGAATTTACAGATAACTTACCCCCAACCTGTTATAAAAGATTGTCTTCAATAAAGCAAAAATCCACCGACTACATCTCGTAAATACATACTGGGGATTATCAAGTGACTTTTCATCACGACGTTATTCCTACTGAGTCTCCTCTTCGCTTTTCAAGCATTTACTTAGAATTTATAATGAAATAATAACAACTGCATAAGTGATAGCCCAGCCAGCATTTATGTTTAATTTCTAAAATTCAGGTCTGACTACTTAAAAGTACTAAGTATTGTGCAGTTATTTGTATCATAGAAATACCAAATACAGAACTCAGTAATTTTTTGAAGTGGAAATGTACTTTATTGGATTAAGAAAACCTTTGTTTTCATTTGCTTTTAGAATATCTTTTCTGAATTTATAACTATTGAAATGTTGTTCCATGGGAAAGCTTTAGAGATATATACTGCTGCCTACCAAAATATCCAAAATATTGATGAAAGTGAAGATTTGGAGGTAAGAGTGATGAAGATTTGCTTTTCAGTATACTTCCTACCTAAAAACAGTTTTCACACTTGGGCTATACATGTCCCAGGCAGAAAAATGCAACATATGTTTCAGGTTCCCAGAACAAACTTCTTATGTATATCAAGCCTTTTTTTGCACTTCTCCAGCAAGAGCATACAGGTTTATAATCTCAGAGAACACAAACAAACAGAGAACAACTGCAGTGGCAATCTAATCTTTCCCACAAAACACAGATACAAGATTTTTCCGAAATTACCTGCGACTCCAAGCTCAGGTAATCACAGTTCTTAAAGAACACCTCTGCAGTGAATCTTGCTGTAAAGATGTGCATAGAGAAAATCCTACACTGCTCTAATCAGATGATCTAAAGACTAATTACTGCATTAAAAAAGCTACTGGGTTTTTTTTGTCTTGTGGCAGTTACAGCTTCAAGTCACCCTTTCTTCTCTACTGAGTTATAGTCTCTCTGTCACAAGACTTGCTTTTCAGTCCTTTTTTCATTCTTGCAGTTCTTCTGGATGTTGGGCCTTTAAACTGAGTATCACTGAAATCTATGTTGTATATATATGTTCAGCTTGTCAAGAAAGTTGAATCATTTTCAGTCTTTTTCTGTAAATCCTGCAAGTCCTGATTTTATTTTGTCCATGACATAGCTCAGGATCAAGTAATCAGTTAGTGCAAGACACAAAAAATCATGGTTCTTCAGTGACAATCACATTTGAGACTACTTGGTAATTTTGCTTCATTTAAACTATGCCATGGCAATCTTGTACTATTGTAGTTTCACAATTAAAATGTCATGTGGCACCAATTCAGAAAAATCCTTTAAGTCAATACTTTGTCTTTCACAACCAAATTTTTAATCTCATTTTAAATTTCCTGTTAATTGGACAATTATTTACTTTCCATAAAAATACTGACCATAATCTGCCATCTCCTTGACTTTATTGAAGTCGTGCATGAATAGCTTTATTGGAAATAACTTGCAAATATAATGGATGTTACAGTCTCCTCTGTATTCTAAGAGGTTGCCCAAATTTTTCTCGAGCTGTTCGTCTCCTGAACATTTCAAGTAAAATTTTTCTGTGACTGTCAGCAAGGAATTCCTTGTGAAGGGGCTAAGAGTTCATCTTTCTGAGACATGGAGAACCTGAAGGCAGTTGCTGAGGTTCATACCTCTAGGTTAGCCTGACACTCAGCTACATATCTTGGTGAGAAACTATTGCAAGTTTTCCATGTGTAAATGCCCTCAAGTCTCTGAAGAATATTTCCTTTGACCACATAAGTATGTTGATGTATCTCAGGTTGAGAAACAATGTTGTTTCAGCCAAAAGTGATCAATCCAGACTACAGTTGATGCATATCTTTAGATCAGGTTTCATTGTCCAATGCTGCATTACTGCTAGCTTCAGTCTAGGTGATTCTTAGCTTGCAAGCTGTATCATGGTACCTGAGTCACAGCTTTCTCCATTTCAACAGGTTTTTCGGAGCTCACTTTATCCATCAGACTATCAGTCTCGCCTAGACATAGTTCGTGCAAATTCCAAGTCCCCCCTGCAAAGAACTCCCTCCTCCAAATCTTCATTGAGGACAGTACAGGTAAGAAAGAAAAATTACATAATTACATGACAAAATCACTGTATTAAAGCTCTACTTAAGATAGTATTGTAGCTAATATACATGGATCCACTATCTTCACTCAGTTCACGACAGTGAGAAAGGTAAAGAAAATTCCAAGAGCATAAATATATTAAGCTCTTAATAATGCAGCTTTATCATTTGAGAGAAAAAAATTCAGCTTTTAAAGCTGTGTTGCTTACTTTTGAAAAATGCCATTTCCAGCAATACTATTTCTTCCATCAACAAACTATGGCATCTCGCAGAGAAAACATCTAGGAGCTTATTTGAAAGAGAAGTGACATTCTTTAAATAACACTTGCATATTATTAGTCTCAGTACCAGATTCTAGAGTGTGACTTCTCTACCAGATCCTAACTCAGATTAGTGATATCTTGTAGCAGCAGAGCAAACCCATGACCAACAAACTTTTCCCTTTATACTCTGAAAATTCAGAGGAGATGAGGAAAAGGAGGATGATAAAAATGAGTGAAACAAATGGAAACAGTGCCACTGGTTTTGGATCAGCTACCCTGCTGATAAGTCCCAGTCTTTGGCACTTATTTGCATCAGTAAACTTGCAGACATTGCAAAATGGCTAAATTATTTTTTCTTTATCGCAGCCATAATCCTGTAACTACAATGATTCTTACCAGTGTTTCAGCTAAGACAAAGATAGCTACATTTAAAATGTACATGTCTTTTCTTCTTTCAAATCATGCATTGATACTGTAATAAGGAAAAGTTATCTTGACTTCGTACACACTTTACACCTTCGCAACACAGAAAGGATCAATTATTACAGTCGAGCTATTCTGTTGAAAGTGAGTTAAGTCATCTGAAAAGATAAAAGAACCCAGTGATTCAGTGCATGAAATACAACCTGGACTCTGAGTAACCCACCAGTCTTCTCTATCAAACAAGCAAATTTCGTGTTCAAGCTACTTTAGAAAATGTGAAAAAAAAAACCCCAAAGCAACAGGAAACTGAGTGTATGTACATTGATTTCTCCCAGAGATGGAGTGGAACTCCATTTTGACTAACTTGCAAGTTTACCTAGACCTCTCTCTTAGTTATAACTTCAGATGTTAATGTTCTCATAACATCTCATTGGAATATTTGAAAAGAACAGGAAGTCATCTAGACCTAGAGGGAAACTGCAATACATTTCAAAATAATGTTGTCTTACTTGGCTGTGCAGTCTATCTGCAGAGGATCATATGGCAGAAAAAAAGCAGTGGGACATCCTACTAATGCAGTCACTATAGGGCAGTGAAGAAGGGGCAGGCAGCCTGTTCCATTCACTCCCCACGTGCCCTTTCTGATTCTGCAAACAGCATGTTGTTGAATTACACTAAGGGCTCTAATCTCTGGAACCCACCAAACATCTCATGAGAGAAAAAAAAAGCTGCATTCAGAAAAACCTTCAGGTGACTTGTTTTCTCTTTTCTGGGGATCTTTCACTCCCAAATTTTTCGCAAGTCTACTTTCCTGCTACATAGTAATCCCTTACTAACTGTAAGGCAGCACTTTACAATTTCCAGTGCAAAGCAGTATAAACAATATGGTGAGCAGTTCACAGAATCACTGTGCCTAGGGCTGTGAGGTGGGGGAGGACAGACAGACACATACATGCCAACACTAACCCGTAGGTGGGGGACATGGGGAAAGTCACTGCATACCAGATGGGATAAACTGTGCCAGTAACACAGTTCAGGTCTTTCAGAAGATTTAAGGCATACCATCCTTGAATTTATTTCTGGTTCTGTGGACTAACTTTCTGTATTATTTGTATGTTAAAAATCTAAAGTAGTCCTCGAGCTTGATACATTGTTTCACAAAGAGCTACCTCCTTCATTTTGCACTTTACTTGGCAATTTAGCTTATCATTTTGTTTTACTGAATCAAGTTGGTATATGCTGTACTTTTAGAATATAGTAGAAGAAAATGACATTTTCTAGATATTTTAAATCAAACTTAACTACATAAGTTTTATCTACATGCACTTAATATAACAAACTGTTTTGCACTGACTCTCTAGGACAGCAAAGTATCATTCTAACAGTTATTGAAAATGTCTGCATCTGAAAGCTCCAAAACTGCCCACTGCCCAAGACATGAGGAGAGGATTACCATGCTTTCTCTAGTAACACCTGCAGTGAAACATGGAACTGAACAGCTTAAGCAAGAACAGTCATCACACCTACATGCAAACTCATAGAATTAATCTTCACATTAAATTATTTATGAACAACAAACTATCAGATTTTTTTATTATTTTTTCAGCATGAAGTAATCAAAAATTAAATTTTCAAGTACTGGTATGTTCTAGCTCTATGGCACAATAATGTGGATTTAAACTGCCTAATTTCCTTACCACTATCAGTGATAATATTTAATGTACTATTCAGTTAATTACAGCACAGTCAGAGGTATTTGAGTAGTGAGCACAAAAACGCCATAAAGCCAAAGCCAACACCTCTTATTTCAGGAAGGGGAAGGGGGAGCTTTTCTTCAGAAATATGACGCAAGTTCCATTTAAGAATTTGAGATACTCTTAACTAGAAAAAAACCAGGAAAATTAGTCTATCCCATTGAAATGACACTACCTTAACAAGGTCAAACTGCAGCATTCCTTGATCACTAATTACAAATCAGTGCCATTGTCTTTTTTTTCTTTCACAGAATGAGAGATTGCTGTTTTAGGCATTTCAGCTCAAGTTAACCCAGCTTCATCCAATGATTAGCTGCATTTTCTATTACGTTCAGGAATTTGTAAGCATTTGCTTGAAGCTAAATTATGTACTTTTTGAGCATCAACAAGACTAAAGATTTTTCTGCTTTCATTAGTTCAATGACTGCAGTTTGCTTTATGCACACACAAAAATCTTGTGTTACATACATGGCTGTATGAATTCTAACATCTCAGAAGTCAATTTAATAATGAGCATTTAAGGACTTTTTAAAATAGGGGGCTTTTTAAAAAAAAAGGCAAGTTCTGTCTTCAATACAGAAGTTTTATTATATCACTGTATGTGAGAAAACACAGAAAATATAACCAAAATTAGAGCTGCAGATGCTCTCAAAGAACAGCTGAACCTGAAATCATTTTTCAAAAGCATTCCAGATGATTTGGATAACTAATGTTCTCTTTCTCATGGGGAGAGAAAAAGAACACCATATATCCTACATTAAATTGTAAATGTTGCATTGTCTGTGAAGGATCTATCTTCAAAAGGCATTAGATTGAACCCTCAGAAAAAAGTACAGATTGCAGAATCTGTCAGATGAGATGAAAGCTTGGCAGCTGCCACTTGTTTTTAATGTTTGATGAACCAAAGAAAGGAGACTAATGTCATTCTGAAGGGCAAGCACTGATGGGCACGGAAAGTTGTTCATCTGTGAATGAAGACTTTTAATAGTTTGTCTAATTCATTCTCAAAAAGAAAAAAACCCTAGAGCAGCATAGTTTTGAACTTTTAACTGGAGGTCTGATGTCTTCAAGATAAGATTAGGCCTTAATACTCATCTTCAGCCTGCTGTCTCAACAGCCAACCCAGGAACAAACATCTTGTTGATTTTTAGCATTAACTGGATCAAAGTATAGTTTTCCCAATCCTATAATAGTTGTCATGACTATGGGGTTTTTTTAGCTTTTAAAAATCATTACAGTATTTTTATTCTGTGCCGTGTATCTTTTCATTGGCTTGCACGTTATGAAGGGTTAAGGGACAAACAAGTTATGCACTCCCCCAAACAAAAAACTATAAATATTTAAACTGGAAATGCCAACAGATAATTGTTTTTCTTTGAGGAGAAAAAACACTTGATTTACTTCTGCTGGATTTTTGTTTTGGCAGATTTCACGCAGTATGCTAAGAAGAGATGAAGAAGAAGAGGAGGAAGATGAGGATGAGGAAGACGAGGATGAGGAGGAAGAATTTGATGTTACTAAGGAAGTGAGATAACAAAGCTATTCTAAGAGGGGGTTTTTATTAAGGGGGAAAAAAATCCCTTTACCTAAAGGCTTTTGTGTGTTGATCAAAAATTTCACTGAGGCTGTATATTTAAAATTCTAACAGGAACAAGCACTAATTCTAGAGTGCCGGACAACAAATGACCAGTTTCAAAGAATGGAACAAAATCTGCTGAAAATGGACAATTTCAGTAGCTAGAAAATGAAATATTTAAATAGAGTCCTGTATTATATTTGCATAAATATTGCTTTGCAGTCATATTTGCTTAAACGTACATGAACAGTGTCCAAAAACTGCACTAAGCTGACAAGCAGTTATGAACATAAGGGTTTGCTTGTAACTTTGCCAATATATTACCTTATTCTCTAGCTAAACACCTCTTCCATTTAGTAAGTCCTCTAGCTGTACCTGTCATGACTGGGTTTATATATCCTAAATGAACTGTAGTAATCAAGAAACTGTTTGCAGCAACAACATGTTAAGATTTCACTTTGTTACGCACCTTGGATGGCAGAAGGCAGGGTGAGGTGTATTGTTTTCTCGTTTTCATTTTCCTCAGGCTTTCCTCAGGCTAAGATGACTTGATTCCTTTACACAGAGAATCAATGCTCACAAATAAGGACCAAGCCCAGTATCTACGTTTATTGCTGCTTTGCTTTTCAATAAAAGTGCCTTCATGATAAAACTAGTGGATATTTTATGTAGTTCATGTTTATTATATTAGTTGATATGCTATAGAGTTCAAATTTCATGTGCTTAACTACATGATTCAGTTACTGATTCCATCAAACATACAAGAAATTACACATTTTGAGTGTAATTTCTTATTCTGTTTGGAGATGGTGATACACATGTTCATTTTTTAACAGTGTACAGTTGTCTGCCAGAAAGCCACTACCACACTGTTCAGCTTTAGTTAAAGAGCGAATGCATGCATAAATATAGAATTTAAACTTGTCACTAGGAAAAAAATTTCAAGTTATGGAAATAAACCAAAAAGTGCATTTATAGTATTGATGCATACCTATTCTGATGTGAAAAAACAACTTTTGCCAAAATTAATGTGATGGAAATATAAGTGAAAATGTCACAATAAAGGGTTTTAAACCCAGAAAATAATTTTACACCAGAATTACATACTATTGACATTGTACAACTGTTGACAAAGAGTAAATACAAATGAGCACAACTTTAAAACTATCTAGGTAACCAATTCCCATCTATTTCAGCAACTAAGGCACTTCAATAAATATTTGTATCACAACATCAGAATTATGGTGGTCACCACTTTACCATTTCATACTCAATGAAGAAGTCCATCTCCAAAACAGATGGCCAACTTCATAACAATACCAGGCTTTCATATCATATACATACATGCAAACAGTGATTGTGTACTATGCCTTGAGAAAGGAATGCTGAAAAAAGGCAGCCATGTTTAATTAATTCCCCCCAAAACATTAGTAGCTAGGGTAAGAATGAGGGGTTTGTTTTCCTGAGCAGCTTCAAATTCCTTCTCACTACCTCACAAAAAAGTCAACTTCAGGAATTACAGGAAAACTTCCAGAACAGGAGAAATAGAGTGTTGGGCAACTTTGCCCTGCATGTGTGATGTCTTAGGTTTGCATGTTGCACAGCACTTGTGTGGCCTTGAAACTACAGATGAAAAGTCCCTGATTAAAATACTTTAGAACCAGAAGAATAATTTAGAATGTAATTACAGAATTAAAAGATACTTCTGCAAAGATTTTTCTCGTGGCATAAGTGCTTGCTGCAAGACTGACATTTCTCACTCACATGTATTTTTGACTACTAACACCTAGATGATGCAGGCTTGTATCAATCTTGCTAAGAATATTTTGCCACTGTTGAAAATGCTGGCACATTCCTTTTGGGATTAAGGGTTATCTTCTTGTACTAACCAGACTGTGCTGTTACAGCTTCCCTGAACGCCTCAGGCTGCTTTGGTAGGTGATCACTATTTCTAGTTCTTGACAATAGAGACTGTTCTCCTATACACCAGAATTTTTGGACAATGGTAGCAAAAGCAACTTCAGAGAAGGCATAACTAAGGAAACTTTCTGTGTTTTATATCAACGTCACAAACTGCAGCATTTCTTTTTTTATTCTTTTACTATGTGGATGGTACTTAAAAAGAAAGAACAGTATTTCAAGCCATGTAATTATAAGATGGCTTCTGATTTGTCCATTGTACCAAAAGTACAGTGCCTTCAAGCCACTAAACATCTAAAGTTATATAACCCTATTATCAGGAAATGCTGCCACCACACCATGCACCTGTACCCCCTATTCAGGCAGCATTGGAATATAATGCCTATCTATACACATCCTGGGGAAGGAGAAGGGGCACAGAGAAGGACAGACACACACGGAGCCAAAACACCGATAACACCTATAAACTAAGAATCAACTATCCTGGTAACCTTATTATTTCACTGATACACTGGCATCCCTTCCCAATTTCCCTATGCTTCAAGTTTATCTGTACATACTTTGAAGTACAGTTTTTGTATTTATAGACCTTGAAAAAATAATTACTGCTTTGGCCTGTCAATCAAACATTTCAGATAAACTAGTCATAAACTCTAATCTGGCTTTAAATTAAATACAAATTAGCTATATAGCACACAGAAAACCATTTTGAAATGCCTCACTTATGACCTCTGCCATTACAAGCTTTGATTCTTTTTCATAAGGGGGGAGAGTTCACTAAGGGGGGGGAGTTTACCATCCCAAAAATTAATGGTATTTTATCAGTAATTACTCTTAAATTCTTTGAGAACAGGTGTTATTTCTAAAAGACATTCTCATGCTTTACTGGCAAAAAAACCTACTAAACTCTCCTGTCTTTCCAGCCTCCAAGTTTGAAATATCCTGTTGTATAGTAGCTGGAAGGCCTTTAAAACCAGCAAATGATCTAAAGCTGACTAACTGGAGAAGTTACTTGCATTCATATTTACAACACAGCTTAGTAGTAAAGACACTGGCTTACAAAAATAATCACAATTAAGTTTTCAACATAATGATAATGTCAGGGAAGTTCATTTTGAGGATTCTCATGTCTTTTACCTGCACAGTCTTCTGGCTCCTTGATCTCTTTCATAGTAGCTATGAAATAAAAGCACAACTTTGTGGGTTTTATTTTAACGCCCTTTAAATATACAGGATTCAAAACCATGATTCTGAAGGTAATTCCTACCAGACAGCAAAAAACTGAATATTAAGTGTTCAGAATTTAAACTTAGCCACATATATTTTTTTTGCTACATACACAGACCTTGCATTTTCATTCAAAATGTTTTTTTCTGGGCACTTAAAATAGAGAACAAATAATATGCAGAGGAAATAAAGCTACGCTAACCTTTTAAAAATTACAGAACAAAAAATTCTCTTGATTTTGTTTGCTTGTACTTAACAGTTTATGCGCAAGTTCAGCAATTACGATGATGACTTTACATAAATAAAGCAATTAAAATTTGACCCACCAGTGAGGGGGATCAACCACAGGCTGCCCAGAGAGCTCTGTTCTTAGAGCTATTAAATACTGAAGGCCTTGAGTAACCTGTTCTAGCGGACACTGCTTTGAGGAAGGGGTTGGACTGGAGACCTCCCTACTCCATGAATTTATGATTTTTTGTATTGCCCAAGCAAAGGTTAAAAGTTTTCACTGCCAAGTTGCAACTTTGCTGTCCTAATCTGAGGGGACTAAAATTCATGAAATTCTTTAGTACTCCAAATACTATCTTGCACAGTTGCAATGTGAACTAAAGTCCTTACCCACACAACCAAAGTTTCCTACTAAGCCTGAATTTTGAACATGCAGCTTTTCCAGGCTAGCTTTTATTTCCTCCTAAAATTTAAATATGGTGGTACCAAACCAATCTAACCAACATATTCTAAATGCTGACATAAGCATTTATTTTATTACAAAAGAAAATAACATAGTTGGTTGTCAGCTTGGTTACCATGACAGATGTTAGTTAAAACTAATCAGAGATTGACCTGGAATGTATCCAAACATCATCAGCAAGCTAGTATTCACATTATGCAGCATGTGGAGATAAAATGAAGACCACTGAATCAGAATTCTTGATCTGATATCAGCATTCATTTTCTGCCTCAAGGTACTACAGTGAGCAAGAAGAAAACCTGTCCAACTCATTAATACAGACTGAAATCTCTGTAAACTAACTACATTTTCTTCACTGTGTTGACAAACTGTAACAGTTCACTCTTCCCAGAGGAAGTAGCCAGCATCATTCTCACCAAGACCCACATCTGCTGAGCATAATAGTTGAAACCATTAACTATCCAAGTTTTAAATAGAAGACACACATTTAAATGGCAATTTCCTTTTTATTAAAAAAAAAATTGCAAAGCGAGCTAATGTGAACAGGAAGCTCTTTTTTCTTTTTTTAACAGAAACGCCTGCAAACACATGAAACCGAATAAAACCTGAAGTTTACACAAAAACAAAACCCAAAAAATAAAAATCATTCATCTTTTAAATTTTAAGCTAACCTCAGTAAGAAGTGTTATTTACTAATGCAGGTAGCACTGAAAATCTTCTATTTGAACCATTTGCGTGGTCAGTCAACCAGCATTTATATTTTTATCTGATGCAAAGACAGAGGACATGGAATTAAAACAAACTAAAAAAAACCCCAAAGCATTACAACTCCATCCCTTTAGACCTTGATGTGTGACTTCCAGTGTCCTACAAACATTTCAACCAAGAGCTAAACAACTGAACTGGGTATTATTTACAACCGTTGATGGAAACTGTTTCTTCCAGGAATTAAAAAAAGTTAAAATAACTGTCAATACTGTCAAACCGAGAATGTTTTACTATAGAGCATCTTTTCCTCCTTTACAGCAAGCTCAACTTAACTTTCCGTGGACCAATCGGCCTATCATTCAGTTCATTAATAGCAGCCATAGCTTCCTCATAGTTTGTCATAGCAACAATGGCATCACCAGAAGGTAATCCTTGTTCATTGTACTGCACAGAAACTGACTCCGGAATCACTCTGTAGCCATAGAAAAAATCCAGAATCTCATTAGGAGTAGCTTTAAAAGGTAAATTTTTCAATAGAATAGGAATAACACGTTCAGAACCACCACTGAAATTCGGATCCGGCATAAATCTTCCTTCAGGAAAATTTCCCATTTTATTATTCCCAAACTCCATTCTGCCAAAAGGTTCACTGTCACCACCGAAATCCATGAGGGGTGGTGGACCTCTAAAATCCTTAGGAGGGCCCATGAAGTCCTCAGGGGGGTGTCTAAATTCAGAATGATGCCTGAAGTTCCCGGGGGGACCAAATGAATGCATGGGTGGCCCTTGTGGTGGCCCAGATGGTGAACTGACTGGACGGGAAAGCTCACCTCTGTCATACGGATGTGAATAACCATGCACTTCATTGGGTGCAGATAATGGTACAGATACACCAAACTTCTGCATCTGCTCTTCAGATATAAGTCTTATTAATACCTCTGTTCCCAAAAATGTCTGACGATTTAAATTTTCTGCTTTCATGGCTTGTTCTTCAGATTTAAACTTCACTAGTGCTTCTCCCAGTCCAAGTCCTTTTTCATCATAGAGTAAATAAATATCATCTTCATCAATATCAAATCTTGCAAAGAACTTTTGCACTTCAATTTTTGACACATCAAATGGAAAATTCCTGACATAAACACATATCTTAGGGCTGGAATGACCTTCCCGGTAACTTTTTTCTGATATAGCCTGTCCAGGATGATCTCTGTCTAGTGATCTTTTTCTCTCACAAGAATCGATTATTTTCAACATTGACTTTCTTGAAATTGGAAAAATATAAACAGGACGATTGAGAAGAACCTTTCTATGACATTCCAAAGCAGCCTGGTATTCTCTCTCACTCCTTAACATCACAAAGGCATCTCTAGTCCTTTTCTGATGCTTATCTGTAAGAATCTTGATCTGTTTGCTGGATATATCCAGATCAGGGAAAAAATCTCTCAAATCTCTCTTCTCCACATTAAAAGATAGATTTCTTAAGTGTATGTAATATTCCTGGCTGGGAGATGAACGGGAGCGCGTTCTTTGTCTCCTTGGTGATCTTGAACGAGAATGCCTCCTTGAATGCATGTAGCCTGAACTTTTTGGAGAAAGGTCTTCGCAGAAAAAGTGATCCATTTCATCCGGCACATCCACCGTCCCACCACATTCAATCCACCGTTCCTCCGTAGTTGGACTAATTTCTATAAACCTCTGACCCATGTACTGCCTATGACGTTTAAGTCCTTCCAAGGCATCACCAGGCGTAGCACATTTTACCAAGCAATCACCATTGTTTAAACCATTGCGGTGCTTTATCAGAATCACTCCATCGACACGTATCCCAGAAAGGAAAGCACGTACTTCCACTTCTGTTGCAGCGTAAGGTATACCACGGAGAAATAAGTAACAGTCATCTGGGTTAAATGGGTGAGAATCCTTTCTCAACTGATAGTTTGACTTAGGTATACCCATATCACCGTGTCTTGTGCCGTTGGTATGGAAACCAGCCTCTAGGCGATTTGGTGGCCCGTAACTAGGTTTTCTTATTCCTTTTGGAGAAGCTGTGACTAAATGTGGCATGTCTCCAACACTTGATGCACCAGAACCATTAGTACCTGTTCTTCTAGAGCTAGACATAGTTTCTCGTCCCCCATGGTCAAATCGTTTCCGGCTCATTTCTATGGTATTCTGCATTTCTGCCTTGCTGCTGAGAAAGAGCTCTACGCGTGAGTCCTTGATAAACCCTCCTGAACGGCTCATGGCACGCCGTGCATCTTCATCTGTTGCAAATATAATAAAAGCCTCCCCAAGCTCTCCTCCAATAATATGCACACCTCCATCAGGAATATTCAATCCCAAGAAGAAACGACGAATATCTGGAGGACCCGCAACAACAGGAAGCCCCTGTAAACGGATGACTACAGCCATGCTGAGCTCAACCCACAGCACAAATCACCTGCAGACAAAAAGGTACACATGATAGCACGTCTTTAGTACTCAGCTATTACAGTATCTTATCATTTAAGAAGCTAGAGCCGTTTTAATGAGTGCCCTTGTCTCAATCGAGAGAGAAGGTATCAAAACACCCACAAGTTCACAAGAACAAGATTAAAACACAGTTCACTGAATGTTGATTAGTCAGAACAATCAGCTACTCCACCAGCACACGTGCACAAATCTATCAATATTCCCTATCCTAAGGGCAACAAAATCCACCTAAGTCATTCCTCACCATCCACAATACCTAAAGAACACATCAAGTCTTTCATGGCATAGTGACTGTATGCCAGAGATCTCTGCCCAGTCCTAAGGAACAAAAAAATCCTGTTTCCTTTTGAACAGGACACTAGTTGATAAAAGGAGAAAGGAAAAATAACTATGTCATTGAAAATGACATAATTCACAAACAGTGATGCCTTTACTGCTTTGACAAGTTGCTCTACCCAGTGATCAGTTCTGTTCAGTAATGTATGTTTTCTCAGCATTCAAAGAAGTTGTCTCTTTGACGTAGTCAGAGTATTAACTGCAGCAGCCACGAGCACTCAGGAGAGCATATCCTAGTTCCCAGCCACAAGTACGTGAGGAAAAAAGGTTGTGTATGATCTTGTCACAATACTCAGTGAGAAGTGTTAAGCTTTTGGCAGCTTACCTGTTTCTGCTTTGGAGACCTGATAAATTCTGTAAAATCAACTTAACTGTGGAAAGAAAATGAAACATAATTAATGGCTGATACCTGTACTTTGCTTACATACTGCGCTACACTGCTGCAGCTCATCCATAGCACTGGCTATACTAAAGCCAAACGTTATGAACCCATGTGAAGAACTCCTTGCATGTTCCAAGATGCTATGCACTGCATCTTTGTGTTTCCATTTCAGAAGCAAAAGAAATTCAAAATTTAAGTTGACTTCTGGAAACGATGAAAATACGATGAGATTACTTGGTCATTGGTTGTGCCACACTGAACTGTTGCAGTGAAACAGACTGCCAGTGTATCGAGGGAACAACTCTCAACTGAGTCCTTGAAGGATCCTTAAGTCCATCTCAGGATTAAAGGACGTGTCCATTCTTCTGAGATCCACCTGGTTTCAAGGTTCACAAGAGTATGCTACTCACCAGTCCAGCACTACACTTAATGTACACAGTGAAGACCATCAAATGAAAGAGCAAAATATCCAACGAGGACAAACTTTGGAAAGTACCTGAATTTACAAAGCCAACTTCAGGATTTTCCCTGTATCTTTACTGTACTGCACTGCTGTTCACACATAAGAATGAGAAATGCTCTACTACACTGACTTAAACATACCCTGATTTTCAGCATTATCTAACATCACAAATAAATAGCACAGTACTCTGAGAACAAACACAAGCTTCTGTAGCAAATTACTGCATCCCTTTAGAACAAACACAACAGCCCAACACTCCAAGCATTTGACAAATCCCTCCTACAAACCAAAACCCTTGCTCAAAGCACCAGATCCTGGCGACAAGTCGTCTATCAATAACCGTAACTGCCACTCCAACTGAACTTAGCAAAACAAGAGCAAAGCCCAAATTCCCTAACTAATGGGTTTTATGTCACTTCTACATCAGCACTTTGCAAGCACAACAGAAAACAACTGCCTATTTAGTAACTTCTCTAAAGACCATCTGTTCTCTGTACTTTTGTGGCAAGTCGACTCCAGCCAGCAGCCAAGCACCCACACAGCCAATTGTGCACTCCTCGTCCCCATCAGCAGGACGGGAAAGAAAATAGGAAGAATAAAGTCAAGAGAACTCATGGGTCAAGATAAAGATAGTTTCATCAGTGAGGACAAAAATGCATAACAAAGAAAATCACTCATTACCTCCTACAGGCTGACTGATGTCCAGCCTACCTTCAAATAACAACTGCCTTGGGAGCCAAGAAAAAATCCCCTCAGGCAACCAAAACCATCAAAATATTTCTTCTTCTACCTCAGTTTTTGTTGCTGAGCATGACGTTACATGGCACGGAATATCTCTTTGGTGAGTTTGGGTCAGCTGTCCCAGCCATGTCCCCTCTCAGCTTCTTGCCTATACTCAGCACACTCGCTGTAGTGGCAGAGTAGGGAAAAGAGATAAAGCCTTGACACTGTGCAAGCACTGTTCAGCCACAGCCCAAAACACTGATGCGTTGTCAACATTCTTTCAGCCACAAATCCAAAACACTGAACTGTATGGGCTGCTGTGAAGAACATTAACTCCGTCCCAGCCAGACCCAGAACTTTACGTCTCTTCTCAACAGATGCAACAGCAGTGCCAAAAAGCATGGAGAATTCAAGGGCAGAACTTTCATACAGCACCGTCGTGTCTTGAAAAACCAAATCCATTGCCCTGCTACTTCATGATGTATTTAATCTGTAGTACTCCTGGATTTCACAACTCCACGTTCTTATCCCAATTTTTAAACATCATTCACAACAACTCTCCTCTGTATTTCTTTGGTGATAAAGAGCAAGTTCTCCACGATGCACCAGGGACACAACACACAACCTTCAGCGGTGAAAACTAGACACAGTGATTCCAGATCATGTGATCTCTAAGAATTCCACAAACAAAAATGCAAGTTCAAATAATAAGTTCTTACTGACTGGATATTAAACAATCAAGCGTGGGTAGAAAGTACAGACAAGCCATCCAACAATTTAAAGTGAATGATCAAAAGCAGTAACTTGTCATGAAAAGTAAGACCAATTCATTAACTCAGCAGGGACTCAGAGAGCAAGGATTTGGAGAATAGATTGACAACTTCACGCCACCAATTTAAAACCACAGAAGCAAACACAGTTTTATGAAATTTTATATTTAAACAAAGCTGACCAGAAAACAGTACTATACCTATTCTTCCACAGCCTCGAGAAATTTCAAATACCATTAAAGCCATTAAAATAAACCCACAACTTCTAAACACTGTGGGAAACTAAGCCTGCACTAGACCAGTATTTTAACCACAACGTTCAGAGATTACATTATCTGTATGCAAGCTAGAAACAACACACACAGAAACACTCCGACTATAAACTGGACCAATGTAAAAATAACCGGTAGATCAGAAGAAGATTTCTTATTCTGTTCTTCAAAATAAGCTCAAACAGTGGAAGCAGGCTGCTGCTAATGGTACTTTGCACATCGCTGGAGGAAGACGCAACTGAGCTCTGTAGCTGGGCCGGCTGGGAGCACCGCTCACTCCGAGCGCCACCGCCGCTGCAGGACCCGGCCGGGCCGGAGCGCGGGGCCGCGGGCGGCAGGACGAAAAACGGGCGAGGGGGACGGGCCGAGGGGAAGCCGCCCCGCGCCACACGCGCTCCGGCCCAACAGAGCTGGTCGTGCTCCGCCGTCACGGAGAAGCCCGGCCGCCTCTCGGCACCGGGACAGGGCTGAGGCAGTCACCAGGAGCGGGGAAAGGGGGTGGGAAAGCCGGCGGCACGAGGAGGCCGCGGCCCGGGGAGCGGCCGCGCAGTGGTTCCGCGAGGGTCGAACTCCCGAGAACCGGCTCCCGGTGCAAACCCCGCGCCGCCCTCAGCCACACGCCGCACCCCGAGGAGGCGGGCGCTGTCCCTCTCGCCATCCATCCACGCACCCAGTGGACTGGCGCTCGGACGGACTCCGCAGCTCCCGCACGGCTCCGCCAAGATGGCGCCGCCGCCGCTGCTCCCCCCCCACGCCGAGGAGCGGCTGCGCCGCGAGAGCGCTTCCTGCCCGCGAACCCTGCCGCGCGCCGCGAGCGCGGAGCTGCGCGCGCACGCTGCGGGCGGGGCGGGAAACGCCGCTGCCCCGTGACCCCGCCCCCTCCCTCCTCTGCTGCGCGTGCGCCGCCTCGCGCGCCCCCATTCACCGTGATGCCCGCGCGCGCCGCAGGTAGTGCGCATGCGCCTTGTGGCCCGGGGGCGGCCCTGTGGTCCCGTGTAAATAGAGCTGTATAATGACCAAACTGTGTAATGATAGATCTGTACAGTACCAGATCGGTATATAGAGATCGGTCACACGGCGGGCTGCGGGACTCGGCCACCGCGCTGTGTTGTGCGCTGTGCTCAGGCTCATACCCGCTAGTGCCGCATCCTCCCAGCCTCAGAACTCGGGAGCGGGTTTGCGCTCACCGCTGCTCTGCCAGTACCGGCAGACACGATTTCTAACCCAGCTCGGGCTGGCTTAAGTCTGGGTTTTGGGAGGAAAGGCAGGCAGGGATGGGGCAGAAGAGGAGGAAAGACTGTTGGGCAGGTGAGGTAGTTATTTTATCCTAGTGTTTATCTCACATGCCTTTATGTATTCTCCCCTGTATTTCTATGCTTATTCAGCACTTGTCTGCTCCATTTTACATAGACAAATAATAATAAAAAAAAAGTTGTTTTTGGTAGATTCACCTAGTAATGCTGCCGATTTTAGTAGCTCTCTAAACACACAATATAGTTTAGAAAGGGGACATTGCTTATCCTGCGCAGGATGCAAGGTGGAGGTTTCCGCAAATCAAGCACATCAAGGGGTAAAAACTAATGTCTTTTAGATAGTAAAATTTACATGAACTTCAGCCTGAGGACAGATAATTCGACTTGAAGACATCAGTAACTCAAGCTTTTAAAGCCTTGTTGAGCCAGCACAAGAAATCCAATGAGGAATAAAGCATTTGGTGCAATAAGCATATAGGCTTCCAAGCAATGCTAATATCGAGAATTGTAATAGCTAATTGTAATAGCAATTAGCTCGCAGGACAGGGGCAACGAGGAATAATTAATATCCAAGGGATAAAGTACCCTGCAAAGTTTTGGTAACATTTGAAGGAATGGGACAAGCGGCAATGGGCAGAAACTGTTGCACAGGAAGTTCCACCTGAATACGAGGAAAAACTTGTTTACTGTGTGGGTGACTGTGCTCTGGAACAGATTGTCCAGAGAGGTTGTGGAGTCTCCCTCGCTGGAGATATTCAAGAACTGTTTGGACACAATCCTGTGCCATGGGATGATCCTGTCTGAGCAGAGAGGTTGGACCAAATGACCCACTGTGGTCCCTTCCAACCTGACCCATTCTGTCATTCTGTGGAATGGGAACAAGAACGTCCTGACAAAGGTGAAAGAGGTAAAGGGGAGTTACTTCGGTTGTGTATCCATTCCTCTAGGCATTTTGTGTTTTCACCTTGTTACCGGTTTCCTCTCACAGGGGGGAAGTTACAAACAAGTGTTACATTAGTATGATACACCGTTCTAGAGACGAGGTACAGGAAAGCGTAATCCGGGACTCGCCGTCCTCTTGTGTCCTCCTCCTAATCTCCCAAAGGACAAACAAACCCCTGTGCAGCCCACACCCTAATCCCGGGTTTGTACCATTCCCCTCTCGCCCACCCCGCGGACGCTTCGCGTACTGCGGCGGCTGGCCCGCGGCGCTCGCCGTAGCGGTGGTGCGCGCGGTGGCCATGGCAGCGGGGGGCTGCGGTGCCGCCGCCGCCGCCGCGCTGCTCGTGGCGGTGTCGGTGGCGCTGCCTCCCGCCCGCGCCTTTTCCGTCCCGCTCCAGCGCCCCGCCGCCTGCGCCACCGACCGCTACTTCGACAGCTCCCGCCTGGCCTGCGCGCCCTGCGGAGCCCACCAGCGGCAGAGCGCCGGCGGTGAGCGAGGGGGGAGGAGGCGCTGCCCGGGCCCGGGGCCGATCGGGGCTCGGGTGGCTCCGCGCTGAATCCGACTCCCAGCAGCGGGAGGCGCAAAATCGGGGCTCACGCCGTGGCGGTGAAACGGTAGCTCTCAGGGGCGGGTCTGAAGGCAGCGAAAAGCGCCACGATACCGCAAAGACCCAAGTGGGCGCAGCACAGCTGAGATGTGTCTCAGATACAGCCCTGAGAAACGGCTTTTTAAATAAAGCCTTTTTTAATAAAGCCTTTCTTAATACTCTTTCTTTCCTCAGGCATTTGTATGATTATGAGTATTTGCGTTTTCATTGGTAAAATCTCACAGAGCCCTGAAATTATGTTCTTGAACACTTCGGTAACTTTAAACTGCTTGTTAGAGGTTGAATGTGTGAGATGTAGAGATCCTCAGGCTGTGCCCCTGTTGGTCCGAGTCCCACACGTGAGCTTGGAGCGGATACAACACACCTTGACAGTACTAGATGAAAAATCCAGATAGTCAGTCGCTTTCTTTAGGGGATAAGAGTGGGAGTTCACTGTCATATACAGACACAAATTTGAGATTAAGACCCAACAGCATCCCTCTTCAGAGCTGGTACTTGAGTGAGAAGCAGTGATGTGGATGGCTGTTTTCACAACTGCTGTGTAAAAGCTGGTCACCTCTTCGCCACCAATATGGCACCCTAAAAGAGTAATCCTATAGTTTACTTACAGAGCAAAAATACCCTGTAATCATTTTCACATCTTATAATGTGGGTGTCTAGATCCATAATTCCCCTTAGTCTGGATCTTCCTCCAAATCAGGGGCTTCAGGGAGAGAGAAATTCCAGGTGGAGGTCAAGGGTTTATTTTTTTTCCTGGAGCATCTGACTGGAGCAGTGTAGGTAGGTGACATTTAGCCTGTTCTTTGCATCATGGCTGAATTCCACTTGTCATTGCACAAGTCTGCCCATACACTCCCTCGATAACTCGTCACTGTGGATTCTGCCATCAAACAATATGCCTACAAATTTAGGTATTGTCACAGTGGAATCACAACTCATAGCTTTTCACTGACATAATCCTATTGGTCTTTTTTATAATTATGAGTAGTTCATCTCTTTGACAAATGTTTCTGTGCAACTGATCCCATGAGGATGTACTTTAAGGCTATTAAACTTTTCACGGAATTTTACGTTATTTTTACATGCACAGTCCAATAAACTTAAGTAATAATAAATACAGTTTATTAGTACATATAATCAGTTTTGGTTTGTAGTATGTGTTTCAAATTATGGTGAGAAGTCTGATAGACTGAAAAGGTTTCTAAAAAAAAAAGTTGCTGAGGACTAGCAGATGTGCACAATGATGTGCTATGAAAGTAGTGTTTCATTTCATACAACATGTTAGGTATATTCTGTTAGTTACTAAAAACCATTCAATGTAAAGTTTGATCCCCATGCACAATTTTGAAAGCTTTGCAAATTTAAAACAGCTTCACATACGACAGTTAAATTTTAAAAAACCTTTGAATATAAACATTAAACATATTTTGGTTTTAAGACTGACTTCCTGTGGAAATAGTCAAAACTGTATACAAACATATAATGCTGGTGTTGGAGAGAGAATGGGCTGAGAAAGTCACTGTGGCAAGATTTAGATGGAGAGATTATATCTGGTTTAAAAAAAGAACACAAAAAACACAAGCTCAGGATTCCTGTTGCACCTTGGTGGATCAGTCAGCCCTGTAACACTTTCCTAAAATATCTGTGTATGAATCGTAACATGGACATTTTCAAAAAGCAAGATGATTTTCATCCACATCTCGGGTGTTTTATGTGTCTGTCTAATAATCCATATTGATCTCTTGGGAACAACAGCAGTTCTTAGTATTCTGTAAAAAACAGTCAGTTTTATATATATTAAAAGTGCATTTGCTTTGTTTTTTTCAGGTAGTTCCTGTGTATGTGAGCCAGGATACAGGATGGTTTCCAGTAATGGTGGGTTCTCTGTTACTTGTGAAAAATGCCCAGAAAACATGGTGGGTATTGAACTTTTCATGCTTTACCATAATAATAATAATTTTTTAATTTTAAATTTCATCCTGACTGCAAGTTATTTTTCATTAATTTAAAATACTTTTGCGTTATGGTCTTTGCTTTGGAATTTTTAAGACCATACTTACAGGTATTTTTTTCAGTTTAGAAGTATTTGCAGTAATTCATATATTTAATATGTAGTATTTTTTCTCAATTTAGAAGTGTTTATTATTATGATTTTGCAGGCATTTTTTGATTACAAATTTGACCCTGCAGACAAAATAAGAATATTTTAAATGTTAATTTCCTTCCAATGCTTTTTCTTTCTGCTTTATGTTATCCTTGCCCACACAGCTCTGTAGAATGTCAAAGGTAGTTTTCAGTTCATAGGTATCTTATTTGATTATTTATACAAATCCTATTATTGTAATATTTAGGCTGTATCTTTGTAGCCCCAATACTTCTTTTTACTCCAAAATGAGCTGCTACTATTTTGTTACTTTAATTACAAATGTCTTTGTAGTTTGGTCAATTCTTTCTACCATTCTTGACAAATTAAGCTATAATTTTGAGCATTGAGCCAGAGACACCAGACTTAACCAGCTTTTTCCTGTCATAGTAAATAGAGAAATATTTTTTTGTAGCAAATCAGCTTTTCAGGGTGAAGCCTTCCCAAATACTTCTCTTTCTTCAATAACTATAGAACTCTTAAGAGTCCAGCTTAGTTGCCTGAGTTGGGTGTTTAATGGGTAATGGGCACTGTAGGTAATTTCTCTCTTCTTTGCATTTACTTGCTAAGTTAGACAAAGACATTGACAAATATCCTTTGGTGATTTGATCATTTGCTATTTCTTTCTCTTTCCTGCACTGGTGGTATTTGTCTTTGATCTACTGGCAAGGCTTTTGCAAAGATAAAATGATGATAGTGGAGAAGGGAGTAACATTTTGGTTTTTATCTGTAGTGCAGTTACTTCATAGTATAAAGTAAGTGTGGATGTGAACTGTTTGAATATGTACAAAATTCCATGCAATT